ATCCATTAAGCCACCACCCAATCTCCCCAACTGTCGCAAGCTCTCGGCCAAATGAGGCAGCATGAGCTTGTGGGCAGGGCATTGGATTTCAGGAAGCCTCAGACAAACAGCCGAGGATGAATGCAAACTATTCAGATCATGGGCCATAGCAAAGGTTGGCCATGCTATGAACTCATGCAGTCAAAAAACATATCCACATCCACTGTCCAACCATCTTCGCTGGGGCTGCTGGAACGCTTGCGCTCAATGAACATAGCTTCCAAGCTGCCGTCCAAAAATTGGCTTGACAATCCAAGGACATCAGCCAGCCTCATCTTGCCAGTGTCTCGGTTTGGCCTCACACGCATTGCCTGGCCAAGCAGGTGATGTCAATAGTTTATGATGGAAGCTAAATGCTTCTTTATGTCGACCCTTTGGTGTCACATTCGAATTGACACAAATATTACATTTCTTTATTAATGGTTCTTATTGAACGAATTCATTCTTATTTCTATTAATTTCTATCTTGTTGCATGATTGAAGCCACAAAATGTTTTGTAGAATCAGGAAACTTGTCTGAAAAGTGCAAATACTGCAGATCAAGTATCACGGCTCTGTGCACATATGAAGGCATGCGGCATAGTGGATGAACTTAATATATTATTGTATATGTGGCCATCCCAGGAAGCGCGCTGCTTGCTGTAACTGCTACGGATAACAGCAACACTTGTTTAGTAATAATGGCAATATCACTGACGCTACAATAGCAATAGCAGGTGCAGGTGGTTCAGTAGTAGAAGTGCAGCCAAAGTTCCAGCAGCAGCAGTAGCAGTAGCAGCAGCAGCAGTAGTAGTCGTTGTCGTTGTCGTCGTCGTCGTAGTAGTCATACTAATAGAAGCAGTAGCAGTAGCAGTAGTAGTAGCAGCAGCCCCAATAGTAATAACCGCAATGGCAGTAGTAGCAGGGTAAAAGTATTATTGGCAATAGTATAGCAGTGGCAGCAGTTGTTGCTATAGTCAATGTAGTTGTCATTGTTGTCGTAATATTAGCTGTAATCTTGCAATTTGTCATAGTAGCAAAATATAATATAGCCTAGCGGTGCAATAATAACATTGAATATGGAATACGCGCGCGTTACAGCACCTAGAGGGCTAAGCAATCACGCAATGCTTGAAAAAAATTGACTAGTTCGCTACCCACTGCCCCAGAAACATGACAGACAATTTGGGGGAATGAATTCAACCAAAACAGCCTTGGCATTTTTCTGCTTCCTTTGCTTCACTTTCCGAGGTGGTAAATAAGCTCTCCGGTTGCCAGGACCTTTCGTGGCTCGCCAGAAAGCAAGAATCCCATCCAGCAAAGAAAACTGCAAAGCTGTCTTCTTGGACTGGGCGCGGTCTAGCCGGAACTTTGCGAACCTGAATCCATTTTGCAGGTATTGCATCCACAACTTTGACATTGACCACTTGGCAAAAATGAGAATAAAAGCATGCCAATTTCTTTCAGGAAACGGCGGATTGCGAAGATACACCGCCACCAACAACACACCCAGCTGCTCAGTCATTTCCAACTGTAGAAATGAAGCAGTCTCCTGCAACTTGAACAGGTGCGTCGTAAGCTTGTCATGTCCTGACAGCAAAGCCGATTCATGCGATCACCAGCACCAGCGATATCGAACTCATAGATGAAATTTCATGACTACTCTACTTCAATTGGCATGGCTGCTCTGGCTGCAAAGGGCAGCTTGACCAGACCCTTGGCCGCGCTGATTTGACCCTTCAACGCACCATTTTGAAAAAAACGCGCGTTGAAGGGTCAATTTGGCGCGTTGAAGGGTCAAATGCACATATGTATGTATATAAATAAAATAAACATAAGTACGTGTGTATGTAAGTATATATATAATATGCATGTATGTATTATTTACAGACACTAAATAATAATTACAATGCATATATGTATAAACAAATATGTAAACACAATATAATATATATAATATATATATATGTATATATATATACATATACATGTTCATATACATTTATATATAGATATAGTATCTTATATAATATCTATGAGTATATATTATTTAAAAAAAATATTCTGATCTTTGATGGGCAGGGACCAAAACAATTCTGCGAAACTTCCTCAATTTTTGAACTTGACAGCATCAAAAATAAAACAATTCTGCGAAACCTCAATTGTTAAACTTGACAAAATCAAGAGCGAAACAATTCTGCGAGGCTTTCTCAATTTTTAACTTGACAGTATCAAAAACGAAACAATTCTGGGAGACTCCCTTAATTTTCGAAGTAGGCAACATCAAAAACGAAACAATTCTGCAAGACTTCCTCAATTTTCAAAGTTGACAACATCAAAAACTAAACAATTCTGCGAGACTTCCTTCAAAAATGCAAAGTTTGCAGTGCTGACGGCCTCATACCAATGCGTTCTGCGATTTTTCCACTCCACCTGTCTAAAGTGCTGCACCTGTCACACAAAATCATCGCAGCAAACCTGAAGATCTGATGCTCCAAAATGCAACCCCACTCAGGAAATCAGCGCCCTGACCTCCGAACAGCTCTTATGAACATGTCACTTGTATTGTGCCTGCCACATGAAAGACATCTTGCAAGATCCTCTGCATATATCCATCCCATGCCTGCCATCGTTTTAGGAAATGCTACAAAACCCTCACGTTTTGCTCACTTTTGACCAGGTGCATAATCCCTGAGGCCTGCCAAAAGCGCTCCGAATCCGTCAGTTGTTTACGCTTTTGCCTTCGAAATATGCTTCATGCCACAACGGCGTGCACTTTTTCGACATCTCAACTTCCAAACTTGCTCCGACACTGAGGTGGTTTGTACATTTTACACATTTGTACTTTCCAAAATGATTTCGCACAACATGACCCTAGAAATCGACCTTTTATGGGCTTTGAGGGCAGCCATTCCGCAGGGGAAATTGGAATGGGGGGAGAGAGAGAAAGAGAGAAAGAGAGAGAGAGAGAGAGATATCTATAATATATATATATATATTTGTTTATATATTTGTTTGTTCATTTGTAAATATTATAAATATTATATTATAAATTATATTTATATAATTTGCAGCGCCTATAATATAAATAGAAATTATATTTATATATATATAATCATTGTCATATAGCAGGTGAACATGGGAAAAAACGCTGCAGCAGTGGTCGACCCTGCAACAAGAGCTGATCCTGCCAGACATGGCATGCCACAAATTTCAATCATCACATGAATCAATAGCCGCTGGACCCTTCTGAATTAAGGAATGCTGAATCATGCTGGATCAATACAACAGGACCAAGTAGCAACTATCAAAATCAAAACGATACGATCACCAACCAGGCCCTGGTGATCGCATCCCCAGACCATGCATTAGTCAAGCATCCTCTGGCTTTGGACACTGGGTGCAGGAAGCAACCTTCACAGGCTCTCCGGAATGTGTATGCCTTTCCCCGCAATCGCAAGAAGGGGTTTGGCAAGTTCAGGATCTTCAAGGCCAAATTTGAAGGCTCCTGCACAAATCTTCGGCAGCTTGGGCAGCTTTGGCAATGGTGGAATTTGGCACCACAAACTTTACACATGACGATTTCCCCATGAGCTTTCCAAAAGCCATTGATTGAATAATGACCACGAGAAAAGCAGCTCCGAGGCCGGCGGAGGAATGTTGCACTTGGCACGGTACAGCAGGTAGGCTGCTAGCAATGCCTTGACTTCAAGCAAGCACTCTTCAATCTAAAGGCTTACTTAGAAATCAGAATGAGCAAACTGAGAATATCACAGCTGCAAATATCACCAGAAAAAGGATCAGAAAAAAAAGGCGACCGCAATGGCAGCAACAACGACAACAACCTCCACCACTGCCTCAATAACACCACAAACACTGCAACAGCACAAGCAGCAACAACCTATCCCAATCTCATTGCCAACCAAATGCGCTAGGGGCTTGTTGGGCTGGCACCCCTCTTAGCAGGAATTCAAGCAAGGGGATCAACTCCTTCTCACCTCCCCAGAAGCAGTTTTTGGCAGCCTTGGTGAAACGATGTCACATGCATTGTTTCAACGCATGTAGTTGTGAGTGACAGTGATATAGCTCTGTTTAAAACAAGGAACTGCATAAGCAATCCTGGCGGTTCTATTCATCTCGTTTGGAGGGCGCCCAGCTTCCACACTTCGCAGCCACAGGCTGGCAGCTTTGCTTGCAGAAATCGGAATCGGCGGCATTCTTGAGCACCTGCGCATTGGAACAGTGGTGGGCTGGCAGAAGCTTAAAATCAATGCACTTAATGGCTGGCAACTTAAACTTAAACATCTGACCCTTGGGCGGAGAATCTGACCCTTCGTTGTTGCTCTGACCCTTGGCTGACCCTTGGATGACAACCTCACTCGGTCTCGCGACCTGGAGGCGTATTGCATTTGGCTATTGGGAGTGTATTGGCAAGGGAATTGCACATCTCAATACGCCTCCTGGTTTTGAGGCTCGGAGCCTGGATTCAGAGGTGCAATACTCTTGTCAAACTGCGTTCCTTGAGTTTCGGTATTTGGATGGGAAAATCACGCCTCAATACGGGGCCTTAGTCTTGAGCTGGACAAGCGTATTGCGAAGGGATGGAAGTCAAGGTTTTTTTAAATCCGCAAGTTTCTTGTGCTTGCGCTTGCACAATCAGCCCACTCACGGTCTAGCGAATTTGCCAGACACTCCCCGAGACTGACGAAACACCCTGATGAATTTCAAAAAGCATTGCATGTCTGCCATTGAACCAATCCTCCTCACAGTGGTTCTTTTCTTGGCAGTGCTTGCAGTGGCTGCTTTGTGCTCCCCTATTAACAAGGACCAGCGCTTCTCACTCATTCCGGCACACAGCTTGAAAGCAGAAGTGAGGGTTAAAGACCTTCAGCTTCGACAGGTATTCCCAAGGCTCTCAAAAATCAATCAAGCCATCTGCATTTGAAATTTAAAAAGACTTCATTATCAATGGCAAAACTTGCTCAAACTGAGATGACAAGCTGCCTAGCTATATCGCCAAGCAAATGAATCTGCAAGCTCTTGGTCTTCATCGCTGGCTTGAACCACTGGAACTTGCTCAAATTCCATGCGCCGCGTGGTGTTTCTGCCACATCTACTCTCCGCCCTATGCATGAGCCCTTTGCAAAGCAGACCAACAGTGCAGCAGCCTCAGCTTGCAGGTGAAACAGATGGCATTGGGCAGCAGTGGTACCTCACCTGGAAGCAAGGGAGCGAAGCAATTGGCAACAGACTTTTTGTCAATCTCAAGGAGGAAAGCTTTTGGTTGAACCACTGACCCAAGCAGGCTAGCATGCCTGCAGGGTCATTGTACTGTGCACAAATGAATTTGGAATGCAAATGAAAGAGCCACAGGCTTAGCAGGCCCAGCGTGTTCCACACAGGCAAGCTTTATGCTCAGGCATCCGTGCAAGCAATGCATTAAATTTCTTTAATTTGGAACGCTTTCCAACTTTCTTTGACACTGGGAGCATACCAAACCGAGCCTTAAGTTGCATTTCCAACTTCTTCTCCCACTTTGTTGCAGCCTTTGGCTTTCTCTGTGCAACTCCCATGGCAGCTTCTGCTGAGACAGCAATGGCTGCTGGTTTGGCTGGTGCTGCTCGGGCTGCTGGGTTATGCCAATCAACCAAAGAAAGAGCCAAGAGCATGGCAAGACCAACTGTCTGTAGATGCATCATGTTGCCTCCCATGCACTCCAGGTCACTGTCCGATACACCTTCTGGTATCACCATACGATGAAGAGGCAAACAGTGCAACAGCAGTTTTTCAGCTGGAATGAGACATCGGGCAGCTCCTGCAAGGACAATGTGACCTCCAGGGGTGATAGTTGGCAAAGCCCCATCAGTGCGACAAGGCATCCTGCCCAAGCTCTGGGAGATGTCAGCTACAACCTTTGCAGGATCTGTTGTGGTGCGGATCAATTTCCACCAGCCATCACGCTCCCGAGGCAAATGCAATAGGAGCCGGTCAGGAGTCAGTTGTGCCAGCTGAGGGTTGCCTTCAGCCAGCTTGAATTCACGTCCTGCGGCCCAGTCTGCACGCGCTTGCTGCCATTTTGTACGAGTGGATTTGTCAGGGAAACCTTGCTTCTGAGCATGCTGCCACTTTTCAAGGCAAGTGGCCTTGTGAGCGAGCACCAAGTCATGGTCACCTGGTAGGATTCGATTGAACAACGGAGCCAAGCCAGATGTGCCGCTGGTGCAGCTGGTGCGTCTGGCATGACTGGACCGCTTCTGCTTCAGGTTAGACCACACCCTTCGATACATATCTTGAGCCTCATCTTGACCAAGAAGCGCAACATCTGCACGGACACCGACAAAGTAGTACCGTGGTCGGTTGACTGGCTCCCCCAACTCAACAGGGTTCAAAGACTCCACAGCCACAATGTAGCCAGCCTTTTGCAGCAATGACAGCACCTCACTCATGCATCTCGATATTCCCTGGACATTCTCTAGCACAAAAGCGGGCGGCTGGAGCTGCTGAATGCGATTTAGCACAGCAAAGAATATTTTTGCTTCAGGCTCCTGAAGCAGCTTGGTGCCACCATGTAGCATTGAAAATGGCTTACAGGAAAAGCCAGAGATGTACAAGTCAATCGAAGGAACTTCATCATCAGTGCGCGTGACATCCTCCAGCAAGGCAACATCTGGAGGCGTGTTAGCAAGAATCATCTGCCTGGGAGCCCATGCAGATTCACAACTGAAAAGATGCTGGAAGGGAACCCCCATAGCTTGCAAAGAATGCACAGGGCTTTCAACTCCGCTGCAATCCGTTCCAACACGGAGGGGGAAGGCGCTGCTGGGGCGGCTAGAGCTACTGGTTGCAGAGTGCGGAATGCTTGGAAGCAGCCCCTCCCATGATGGCAAGAAACTTGGAGCTTCAAGTTTCAATACTTCGTCAAGATCCTTCCGCAAAAGATGGCCCCAACTATCTAGCCATGTGCGCAGGGTGGGAGGCAAATCAATCCGGTATGACATGGTGGCTTAGGCTTGGCTTGCTATGAAACTAGCTGCAAAAACCATGAGGCTTGCGTTCATTTAATAAAGCCTGCATGCCGGTTTGAAAGATATCAATGTGTGCAAAATTGGCTACCTTTGGCAATCTGAGCAATGAAGAAACAACTTGCAACATAATGGTCCAGCAGCTCCTTACTGAGTCGGCGGCAAATTGTTTTTCCAGGGTCTGCTGCAGGTCCATGTCCGAAAACTCCTCAACAATGAACAGGTCAGCTTCCGAGGCAGCCATAGGCGATAGCATGGTGCAGCCATGTGGGCACTTCAAGGATGGGGCATCTTTGCACAGAAGCCGGAATAGAGGCACAATCCTTGTAGTCTTGCAAGTCTGCAAACGCATAGGTAAAGATTGAGAAGCTGGGACAGCAAAACCTCCACTCTTTGGCTCAGTGGGAACGTATGGGTTCTGCCCAGCCTGCCTTCGTGCAGAAACAGTTTCATGTCCTTAGCTTGAGAAAGCTGTAAGAAGCTCCCAACCCAGAATCCAGAAACACATATCCTCTGGAGGCAAGATTCCCAAATTAGCAAACACTGCACTCAACTAATGCCTTAAGCTAAACAAATATGAGACTCTAGCCTGCTTTCGAGCCGTGTGCTCTTGAAACAGCTGTGCAGGATGCTTCTTCTGCTTTGAGGTGCTTGGAAGTGATGAAGTCGCTGAACTGCTCCAACGGGTGCCTTGCAAAGCTGCAGAGGAAGCATTTGAGGCATTTGCAGGCAACAAAGGTAATTCCAAGCCATCCACAAAAGACGCAACTGCAGCTTGGCCAGATGCAGCAGCTGAAGTTGACTGGGCAGCATGAGCAGCTTGGCACAACGTCTTTGATGCTATTTTCCGTTGGTGCTTCACAAATGCAAAAGTGCCTTTGCGTGGTATGCCTGTGGGCTTACCTGCCGTGTTGTTTTTCTTGGCAGCCTTGGAATACTTATACTGGAAACGCCTCCCATGGGTGGAGAGCCACAGCTTGGCACATGCTTTACTGAACTCTGTGGGCAAAAGCTGAACCTCAGAGCTGTGGGCAGCACGTGCAGCTTCATACAACTCACTCTCTTTTTTGGGGCCGTCCAAAGCCACCCCAAGGACTGCTGCAAGAACATGGCCGTCAGCAGAAATTGGCCCGGAGTGATTTCGAATTTGCTCGCACAACTGGCCCAAGTTCCTCTCAAGGGTGGTGGTATTCACCTTCACAGCTAAATAAAAAGAAATCAGCGTCACCAAATCTGCAGGGCGCCGAAGCCGGTGAAAACTTGGCATGTGATGGGCGCGCCATTCTTCGCACAACACCCAGCTCCAAGCCAGCCGATTGGAAATCTGGAGCCTGTTGGCATCAGCAGCTTGCACTACCTTCAGAAGACCTTTCGCAGCTGTCACAAAGTCGGGGTGCACCCTTGCATCCAACTTGAGCGCTTTGCTCAAAGTTTTAACAAGAGGCTCAAGCATGCGCTGCTGCTTTCGATCACCCCAAGAATGCACATTGAAGATTTGCATGCACTGGGCAATGTCATCGCCTGCCAAATCCACTGTGACTCTATCGGTCATTGCAGAAACGACTTCGCTCATCTCAGCCATGATGTTGCGTATGTCCTGCACGCCTGCCTTTGTGCAAAGATAATGAATTTTGTTCCCATAGTAGATCCTCACCAGATATGATGTGGTGCATACAGGAAAACTCAAGCAGACACAATCTTTGAGGATAATTAGGACCAAACCTTAAGGATAAGCTTTCAATTTTCAAGCCAAGGCTCGGCTCAGGGAAGTCCACTTGCTCAAAAACCATTTGTGTCGCAGTCATTGAAGCTACATCAGCGGCAGCTGGTGTTGCAGAGGCAGGTGGTGTTGCAGGGGCAGCTTGGGAAGCAGCAACTTTGGACGCATCTCCCAAAATGAATCCATCAATAAATAACGTCTTCATCCTGGCGCAAAAAGCAAGAACAGACTGCTTTGTCATGGCCGGATCTGGGTCATCAATGTCGAAGCAGTCTCGCAAGAACGTCAAGCATTCCATGGTGTAGTCGCACGTCAAACCACACCGGAAAAGGCTAGCAGGAGTCATGTCCTCCAAAGCTGCCTGTGCCCTTGCTCGGACATCTCGAGCTCCCCGCTCCTGTGTGTACAGCTGTGCCCTAGGCAATAAAGAACACACACACACCTGAAATTTCCAATGAAATATAACGGAATCATCACATTATGACAAGAATCATCTGCTGCTTGCATTGCACAGACCAAAGCGATTGCGCGGATCATGCAACAATATTTCAGCATGGGCGTGGCTGTGGAGTCAAATCGTGGCTTGGCAAAAGAGAAGGTATGGAGGATCTTGTTGATGTCTGCTCCCTGCGTTCTGCAAGATTTCAACACTTCTGCCTGGGCTGCTATGAGTCGGGAGCGCCAAACCTCAGAATACTGAATGTCTGGCACCAGAGCATGTCTAGCTGAGAAAAGCCTTTCCCATTGACGTTGAAAAGGCTCTTGCGCATGCAAGGGGTCTTTGCTAGCAATACGAACCTGGTGCGCCATATCTGCGCTCAGCCATATCAGTTTGGGCAGCTGGGGCAACTGTGACAAGAGCTGGCCACACTTGGCTGCTGAAGCACCTTGATCTGACGCATAGTGGCGAACCTTGGTGCACATTTGTTGATATGCATCTTCATCCACATTTCCATCCATGTCCTTGCAAACATCCTTCAACGCAGCAAGCACACTTTCAGCCATCTTCTCGCTCTTGTCACGGTCATGCTCTGCAATGGTGTTTTCAGGCACATTTTGACCATTGCGGATCACCCCAACCAAGCCATTGGCAACTAAAGGCTCCATTGAAGCCCAGTCTTCAAGATTGCTGTCTTTTGACAAACGCAAAGCTGGGGCTGCTGAGGCGCCTGTGGCTTCCGTCCATTCCGCTAAGGAACGGAAACTACAACGGTAGCGTATGATGCGAAAATCGGCCCTGTCATCGATAGAAACTGAAATGCTTTCTGCACGCAGCAAAATCTTCTTCCTCCTGCATTTCACCACCCAATGCATGATCTTAATCATCTGAGTCAAGCCTTGCATGGCGAGTAGGCACTGAATGCAAACTTAAGCAACAATTTCCGATGCCTCCTAAAAAGAAATGCATTCACATTTTCCAATATAAAATTCGCGTCTGTATTGTAGAAACAAGATGCTCTTTCTGCTTACGCTGCAAGGACGTCCTGCAGCATAGTCCTCTGTCTCATAATGTTTCTGAGCCTTATTGAAACTAGCTGCTGTCTGGCATGAATTCCATGCTCGCAGCCAGTCTCTGGCTTGTGGTACATTCCCACGGTACAAGCCCTGCTCTTGAAGATTGTAGGGGGCTAGCTCGGAAACATTCCGGTCAGGGCAAAGGAAATGATTCTCGGCCACCCTGTGAACAGTGCTGGTCGAATGTTGCCTGATGCATGCAGCCTGCATACACTTCCTAGCAGAATGGGCAGCAAGGGCAGCAAGCACAGCAAAGGAATAGCTAGCCCTCAAAACAAGACTGTAATCCATTAACAACATCCAAATGAAACAGCTCCTGGAGCGCACATCGAATGTCCCCCACTTCGTCGATGCACGGCTACCCATCCTCAATCTTGTTGAAGCTGCAGGAAAAAAGTTTTGCATTGGGCATAGGGCACCGTACTTCCTAGGCATGAATACAAGCTTTCTAAAATATTTGAAACCTGGGCACAAGCGCTTCCGTTCTTCAGGATATCTTGCCAAGGTGTGAACCAAATGCGCGCAGAAATTGCACCCGATGCCCCACATGCCGCCTCTCCGAGCAGGCCTTTCAGACAACCACACCGTGCGCTGAGGCTTGCCCCAAGATGTGTGCTTCAAGCTTCCCAACTTTTTCCACTTCTCCTTGAATCGTAAAAACCTGCAAGGTCACAATAATGCAAAGACACCAATGCACCGAGGCACATCCTCTCACTCACTAGGAAGCAAATTTTAATTTCATAAACCCGACTGAAAAGCTGTAGACTACTAACTTAACCCTTTTGACTGGACAGTGGCTCACAGGTGAACAAAACAGTACAAATCTCCAAATTGCCAAAGCAGATTGTATGAAACATGCAGGTTGGCACCAGTAGTACCACACAAGGTGGTGGCGAAAGTTTCAAAAATAGGAAACCTATAGGAGAGGTTGCTTGCTGTGAATCACAGATGGCAGAGTGAATCCACTGATCGACCGAAAGGTGGTTGAGATCTCCTCTCTTTCTCTCTCTTCCTCTCTCTTTCTCTCTCTTTCTCTGACTACCTACCTACTACCTATCTATGTATCTATTTATCTGTCCATCTATCTATCTATCGATCTTTCTATCTATTTATCTATCTATCTATCTGTCTGTCTATCTACCTATCTATCTATCTGTCTGTCTATCTACCTATCTATCTATTTGTCTATCTATCTATCTTTCTTTCTTTCTTGCTTTCTTTCTTTCTTTTTTCTGTCTATCAATCAATCAATCTATCTATCCATCTATCTATCTCTCACCAGCACCAGCGATCTCAATTTCCATATATGAAATCCCATTACTCTACTTCAATCGGCATGGCTGCTCTGGCTGCAAAGGGCAGCTTGACCAGACCCTTGGCCGCGCCGATTTGACCCTTCAAAGCACCGTTTTGAAAAAAAACGCGCGTTGAAGGGTCAATTTGGCGCGTTGAAGGGTCAAATGCACATATGTATGTGTATATATGTTATACAGATATGTATGTGTATACATATAAATATATATAATATCTAATATACATGTGTAGGGTAAAATATACAAACAAAATAATATGTATATATATACACATATGTAAACACAATATATATATATACTTATATGTAGATACATATACATGTTCATTTACCTTTATCAACATGTATATAAAAATATATTATCTTATAGCAATACTCCTTATAATAATATATTACTAATTTTTAAGGGCAAGGCCCAAAACAATTCTGCGAAACTTCCTCAATTTTGGAACTTGACAGCATCAAAAACAAAACAAGTGTGCGAAACCTCAATGTTTGAACTTGACAAAATCAAGAGCAAAACAATTCTGCGAGACCTCCTCCAATTTTCGAAATAGACAGCATCAAAAACTAAACAATTCTGTGAGACTTCCTCAATTTTCCAAGTAGACAACATCAAAAACGAAACAATTCTGCGAGACTCTCTCAGTTTTCGAAGTTGACAACATCAAAATTTAAAAGCGAAACAATTCTGCGAGACATCCTCAATTTTCGAAGTTAACAACATCAAAAACGAAACAATTCTGTGAGACTTCCTGCAGAAATTTAAAGTTGAGTGCAGAGCTGACGGTCTCATACCAATGCGTTCTACGATTTTGCCACTCCACCTGTCTAAAGTGCTGCACCTATCACACAAAATCATCTCAGCAAACCTGAAGATCTGATGCTCCACAATGCAACCTCTCTCAGGAAATCAGTGCCCTGACCTCCAAACAGCTTTGATGAACATGTCACTTGTATTGTGCCTGCCATGTGAAAGACATCTTGCGAGATCCTCTGCATATGTCACATGCCTGCCATCGTTTTAGGAAATGTTAAAGAACCCTTTGCTCACTCTTGACCAGGTGCATCATTCCCAAGGCCTGCCACGCAAAACGACACCTGAACGTCCAAAAGTGCTCCGAAGCCGTCAGTTTTTCTACACTTTTGACTTTGAAATGTGCTTTGTGCCACAACGCCATGCACTTTTTCAACATCTCAACTTCCAAACTTGCTCCGACACTGAGGTGCTTTGTACATTTTGAATTCCAGATGTGCTTCGCACCACAAAAGCATGCACTTTTTAGAAATAATGGTGTGCTTTGTACATTTTGACTTGGAAATGTGCTTCACGCCACAACGATGTGCAACTTTTCATCTCTCATCTGACTACATGGCTCCGCACCTGGGGTTAGCGAGCCTACTTTTTGACCCTCCGGAGCCACAAATCATTGGAAAAACAGAGTGTTTCGCGGCTTTCCTACCTTTTCGTGCACCTGCACCTTCTTTCTTTTGACTCTTTCTCCGACTTTTCCCACCTCTGCTTTTCCATCTGTTTCAAAAGTTTGACTACTTCTGAACTTCCTTCAAAAATTGTTTTGCAATTCCATCAATCAAAATATAATGCTGGGCCCTTGGCGCCTGCACCGGGCACAATGATCTTTATTGCCATGTCTGGCAACATGACTGACTTCAGACTCATCTGCCAATCCAACTGTGTCCCCCTCTGCATCTTCATCCAAGCTCTGGACAGCAGGATTTGCAGCAGGCTGCTGCTTGGAGGACGAGGCTGGCTTCCGTCTCCGCTGGGGCTGCTGGGTCTGCTGGGCAGGCTGGGCAATCCCCCAGCGATTGCCAACATGATTGGCACTAGAAGAAGATGATGTTTTTCTCTTCTTAGACGACGTGGCAGTTTGGGGTCCAGAAGCCGCAATGCACCATCGGTCACGTAGACGCTTCATTAAATTTCAAACTGTAAGTTTGATGATCTAGCCACATCACGATGATATTATTATTATTGCTACTACTATGATTTTATAAAAGTGCAGTGAGAGAGATTGACTTCAAAAATGGACTGCTTGGGCGGCTTGGGCTTAGGCTGCATAGTAGATGCGTCCCAACTTGGTTGGGCCCAACAAAGATTATCCATCAACTGACAGGCTATGAGCTATTTGGGTAAAAGCTGAACCAAACAACCAGGGCCAGCACAAACATGCATGCACACACGAACACGCATGCCCACACAGAGGCACTGCTGGATGCACCTCGAAGAAAGCCCTCTAAGGTGAGCTCACTCTGGGTCCTGCAATCCATCAAACAGTGCCCATGTCTAATGCTGCTACAAAAGAATGCAAAGCTGTGCATCTTGCTCATGTAGTGACAAAGCGCATTGGCTGAAACAAAATGATGAAACACCCTTGGCCCTGCCTTTTCGTTGAAGTGCTTCAGGCAGAGAAACCCGGGGAATCCTGCAAGAATTGAAAGAGTAAGAGTGGTGAGCTTGGCGCTGAATAGCTAGTCTGCAAGAAGATTGAATGATGAATAAATGCTTCAATATTTGAAATGCTGAATTTGGCACTCAATTCTTGGGGAGCTTTGAACGAAGAACAAAATGAGCTGAGACAGCGTACCTGTTGTGCTTGCGCAAGAGCAAATCACGGCTATGGGCAGCAGAGACAGCTGACAGAATTGCCTGCTCGAGATGAGGACTGTCAATTGCCAGGTGAATCAAATCTTTGCCAAGCAAAAGGCAGCCTCAAAACAACACATCATACCCACTGAAGGCTTCAGCCTCCGGCCAAATGCAGCTTTGAAGAAATTCAGCAACGCCCGGTGACCTCAAATGCACTTCACGTTTTTAACCTGTGTTCATTTGCCTGAAGTCTGGAGTCTGAATGACAGCAACATCCAAAACTGGCTACCACAAAAGATTTAGAAGAAAACAAAGAGTGGGCTAGCTCACTCCCATACACGCGTGGCCTTGCCACGCTTCGGCCAACCGTAGCAATCCTGTGGAGCACTGCCTTCCATCGAAGCCAAGTAGACAGGAGCAAAATTGCTTTCTGGCAAACATGAAAGAATGTAAGGCAGCACATTGCAGGATGAATGAAGCACACAGGGCTTAACCATCTTAACGCTTAACCAATCTATCATTGGCTTCATGGATGGAACGCCTTGCCTGGATGCTCAAGGGCCTGCAAGCAACACCTGACTGTTTGCAGCAAATTTTGGGCATCTACAAAGGGTGAAGCATGCATGGATATGACAAGATACGGAAGCATTGCTGTGCCCCAAAAAAAACTTAACAAAAGTCTGGGCCTGGTCCGTCAAATTATCAGAGCTTGGGCAGCAGGCGCGGTGCAAATAGGCAGCCACCTGTCAAGGCGCTTTGAAATCGACGTTGCCTATGCCAACTTTAACCGAAAAGATATGCCGAAAGAATTGCAGCCAAACTCCCTGGGAGAGTTGCACAGAAGCTGCGCCTGCTGCAGCCGCACCCTTACTTGCAGGCCAGCGCCAGCCTGATGCAAGTGTCCGGTGAGGCATGTGTTGCTTCAGGATGGGGGGCAATTAAATGAAGTTACATGAAACGACACAAATCCTACAAGATCCTTCAATCAGATTCGAGTATATACTTCAAGCCAGGCAAGATAAACAAAGAGCCGCCACATTTTTCCCTCAGCTGTGCTGGTCTGGGAAGATGCCACTGTTGGCGCTGCGCGGCACACACTGCAAAAATCTATTCGTGCTGTGTGGCTCCGCGCAAATTTGTGCAGCTTGGGCAGCTTTGCACCTACTGATGCCTCCCCCAACCCTGCTGGTGCTGCCCCCAACCCTGTTGGGCACCTTGCTGCTGTCCCCAACCCTTTTGGCCACGCTGTTGCCAATCTCCCCAGCCCCTCTGGCCACCTTGCTGCTGGCCCCAACCTTGCCACTCATCGTCCTCCTCCTCCTGCCATGGATCATCATCTGCAGGAGCTGCAGCCGGAGCAGGTGCAGGTGCAGGTGCAGGTGCAGAAGAAGCTGGTGCAGCAGAAGAAGCTGGTGCATCAGAAGAAGCTGCAGCATCTGCCGGAAACACACCGGCCGAAGGATTCGGCATGGCCTTGGGAGCAGGGGCAGCTTGGGCAGGCTGGAACTGTGGGAACTGCTGAAAGGGCGGAAACAGCAGCGGCGGAAACGCCTGTGGCTGCGGATTCTGCTGCCATCCTTGGCCACCTTTCCTAGGAGCAACTTCGAAACCTTTGCCTTTGCCTTTGCTTGCTGCTGCAGGTTGGAAAACTTGACGCGTCTGATGAGCAAACTTGGCCAGCTCCATGTCACCGGTGTTCTTCAAAGTCACGCGGCAATATTTGTCGGTCTGCACGTTCGGCTGCTGGATGCCGCTGAGCAAGCCTGAGGGAGCTTCAGAGCATTTGGCGATGGTGACAGTGAACGGCTTGCCTTTCGCATCCAAATGTCGCTGAAGGCGCATTGCAAGAACGCAGGTGCTGCTGCCCTTCTTGGCAACCAGGGCTCTCTCCTCAGCAATGCAATTGACATTGAAAAGAAACAAAGTTAATTCATAAACCGCCCTTTGAAATCAACCCAAAATGACCTGCATTTGATGCGATCACCAAACATGCTTGGGTGATCAAGTCACAGTTTTCAGTTAGCATCCTGCAATAAAAGGCAACCTATTGCCCCAAAAATGATCATCACCTGATGCGATCACCAAACCAAGCTGGAAGAGCGCATTAAATCCCAACATCCACTGCCAAGAAACCAATGTCAAGCCATCCCAAAGCAATCCAAAATCGTCCTCAGTCTGGCCGGTCCAGAGGATGCTGCAGGGGCCGCGGGTGCCTGGTCTGTAGACCCATCGCTGATCGTCGAAATCCCCTTTCAGGCACTCAGCCTTGCAGGGACTGGCAGAGAAATTAAAAAACCTGATGCTGCAACATCTCCCCTGATTCCAATCCCTAACATGCCCCTGTAATCAAACCACTGCAATCTTTGACAACTAACTAGTATGATTTTCCAATTAAATCAACTAATATAATAACTAACTAGCCGGTTCACTAATAAAGTATGAGGGTTGATACTCTAAATTAGCAAGCCAAATGAAGAGGCAATATTGATGTTGCTGTTGCCATTGCTGTGGCCACTGCTGTGGCTGTTGCTGTTGTTGTTGCTGTTGTTGTTGCTGTTGTTGTTGCTGCCAGTGCTGCCGCGGTGGTGGTAGCGGTGGTAGCGGTGGTAGCGGTGGTGGCGGTGGTGGCGGTGGTGGCGGTTGCTGCTGCTGCTGCTGCTGCTGCTGCTGCTGCTGGCTGTGGCTGTGGCTGTGGCTGTTGCTGTAGTTGTGGTTGTGGTTGTGGTTGTGGTGGTTCTTGATCTGGTCCTTGTTACTGTTTTTGTTATTGTTATTGCTCTTCTTCCTGTTGTTGTTGTTCTTCTTCTTCCTTCTGATAAAATCTCGAATCGTGTTTTTGTTATTGTTCTCATTGGTTCTAATTCGTGTGTCTTGTCCTTGTCCTTGCCCTTTTCCTTTTAATTATTATTGCATTTTATTACTACTGAGGCTGCTATTACTTATTTCTACCCATGCCCAGCCTGTAGTACCCAGCAGGGGCTGTCGAACTTCTTCTGCTGCACGTCAGCTGGCCGGAAGCTGAGGATATAAAAAAATCCTTCAGCAGACACCCAAATGGACTGGGTAGTTGGCCCTGGCATCTCGCCAAAGTCAAAAAATTGCGCATTGCCAGGCTGGAGATTGTGGACCAAGGCATAGTCTTCATTGTTGAGGTACTGCTTGGACTTGAGGGCATACCTCACACCTCCACACTCTTGCTCTTCAATCTTGTGGCCAAAATGAACGCCAAAGAAGGAGGCATTGACAGTGTCCTTGTTGGATTCCTCCAAAGACTTGAGGCGCAGGTTCCCTGCCATGGCGTCGAAATTGCGTAGCTCGGTGCCGCTGGTGCGCAGTTGGGCAAGGTCCAGGAACTTGTTCGCCATGCTGAGAACGTCATTGGCATAGAGCAGCAGCGGCATCAAATTGCCCCCAGTGCCAATGGGAAGCGCCCAGCCAGCCCATGCAAGGTTCTGATGACAGGGGCCGGGAGACAAATTTAGCTGGGGAAGGAAATCCCACCAAACAACTATGATGCAGAAAATAAACATATCTTAGCAACAAATTGTCAAGTAATTTGCAACAAACGTGTAATTCATCAGTTCAATGATGTTTTGAATGCTTTGTTTTCAAATTTCAAGGCTCCCATCCTCCTCTGGCTCAAGGAGCGGGTATCCCCTGGCAGCACCGTTCATAGAGAAGGGTAAGATGAAGATGTTGCACAGAAGCGCTCCACTGCCGTAGGGACCTGCCTCTGAGAACTGCTGGAGGAGCTCACGCACAATGGCAGCCAACTCAGCAGGGAAGCAATGAAACACCGGATGATTAAAATTAAATTACCTCTAATTGGCGCCCCCATGACATGAAACGCAGATCCATGTCCAGAAAAATCTTCTTTGACCACATGATGCCGAGCTGCCACAGAGAACTTCTTTGGAATGCTATTGTGCGGAGGAATCAGCTGCAGCAAATCGCGGGCTTCCTCCACAATGTTGGCTTCGCTGGGCTGCAGGGTCAAGCCTCAAGCATGCGCAAAAGCAGGCACAAAATGGATCCTCTATCAGATGAACATCTTGGGAAAAAGCCCAACAAATGTGCAAATTGAAAACCTTATTAGTTCATATTATGGAAATGGAAAGCTTTACTAAATCACATCAAAGTGCCGACGGACATGGACATATTGCTCTTGTCAGCACCAGGGAAGAAACTCAACACCATAGGGTTAAATCCGAACATTGCACATGAGAAATCTTTGGACGTGTCGTAGACTTCATTGAAAATTGCAGGGGCATGGGTGCGAGCCACGGCATGGTGCTTAATTTCTTCCTGGCCCAGCAGCAGACCTTCCATTCGCAAGCCAAAGGTGCTGCCAACAGCTTGCCTCACGCTCTCTGCGATATCCATTCGCTGGCGCTGGACAGCAGCAGTTTGGGCAGCTTGGGCAGCAGGGACAAGGCCAGTTTCAGATTGGGGCACCAATCTCCCTTCCACAACCAGCTCATCTGGCCCTGGCCCATCATCTCCATGCTCCGCCTCATTGTAGTCCTCAATCAATGGCGCGCCATCAGGAGGACCAGCCTCAGCAGGTGCTTCGGCGGCATGGGCAGCATGTGCGGCAGCAGGGGCTGCTTCAGCAGGAGCTCCGGCAGGATGAGCTGCTTCGGCAGCAGGTGCAGCTGCAACACCAGCAGCGTCTGCAGCCTCCATGGCGGCCAATGCCTCTGCCAGGGCAGCAGCAGGAGCTGCCATCACCAGCACAAGACAGCGAAGTGAACGCACAGGGGCGGCTTGGGCAAACAGTGGTGCTGGGGATGGAAGAATGAAGCAATCCATGCAGGGCTGCTAAAACTAGAATGCGCTTCATTGATTCAAAAAAAAACTTTAACCACAAACACTGCCAACCCCAGCACTGACAAGTCCAAGCCTTCTCCAAGTGCTGTAGTGGGAAAGGCAGCGGCAGCAGGAGCAGCAAGGTCAGGCCTGAGCAGGAATACTTAGACTAGAGGCTTATGAATGGAAATTAGGAATTTATTAATACTGCATAATTTGACCCTTCAACGTGATGATATGACCCTTCAATGTCACGTTTTATTTTTTTTGCGCGTTGAAAGGTTCTGAGGGCGCGGCGAAGGGTCAGGATAATCAGGAAGATGAGGAATGCAGAGCCGCTTGGGCAGCGTGGCCAGGCAGGGATGCTGGAATGGAATGAACTACTACTAACTCAACCCTTTTGACTGGACAGTGGCTCAGAGGTGTGAAGGAAACAGCAAAAAATAAAAAATGTCCGAATGCCAAGGCAGGATAGATACAGTAGATAGATAGATACAGTAGATAGTTAGATACAGTAGATAGATAGATACAGTAGATAGATAGATACAGTAGATAGATAGATACAGTAGATAGATAGATACAGTAGATAGATAGATACAGTAGATAGATAGATACAGTAGATAGATAGATACAGTAGATAGATAGATAGATAGATAGATACAGTAGATAGATAGATACAGTAGATAGATAGATACAGTAGATAGGTAGATACAGAAATTGGGTAGATACAGTAGATAGATAGATACAGTAGATAGATAGATAGGATAGATAGGATAGATAGGATAGATAGGATAGAGAGGATAGATAGGATAGATAAGATAGATAGATAGATAGATAGATAGATAGATAGACAGATAGATAGTTAGATAGATAGATAGATAGATTAGGTAGATAGATAGATAGATAGATAAAAGGATAGGATAGGATAGGATCGGATCGGATCGGATGGGATGGGATGGGATGGGATAGGATAGGATAGGATAGATAGATAGATAGATAAGTAGATAGGTAGATAGGTAGATGGGTGGATAGGTAGATAGGTAGATTTATACATTTATACATATATACATATTTGCATATATACATTTGTAGGTACCCGATCGTCAAACCACCCCCCTTGTTCACGTTGGCATGATCATGTCTGCTTTCCATCATCTGAAATCAGCGCTTGACATGGTCTTGGAGACCGATACTTTCGAACTCCGACAGGTCATGCATTTGCTTGCCGTGATGGATGTCAAAATCATCATGGCAGGCCCTTTTGGATCATGGCGTTGGATGGTTGGTCTCAGGCGAAGCAAAATTGCCAAGGAGTCGGTGCAGGGGATGATGAGCAGATAGCTATGCGTGTGCATGAATTTCAATGGAGACATTGGTTCGGCGAAGCCGATAAATTCGTGGCCGCAGGCACAGTGCTCAGATGGAAGCTCGAACAAGATGACTGAGAAAGTAAGTGTCTTCGTTGCTGCTTCGTTTATAGGGTGATTCAAAGGAACTCTATATTGGGAACTTTGATTCCAAAGAAAAAAAATCAAGAAAAAAATCCAAGATTGTATGTTTCGAGAAAGACATTTCGTATGGGAAAACACAGTGTTTTCATGCATGGATCATGATTCGCGGGGGTGAAATTGCAATCGCGCGCCCATATGTACATATGTACGCGGGGGTATATACATATCGCGCGATATATGTACATATGTACATATATCTATATACATATATACATATATACATAGATACATATATACATATATACATATATACATATATACATATATACATATATACATATATACATATATACATATATACATATATACATATATACATATATATACATAGATACATATAGATACATACATATATACATATATATACATACATATATATATATATACATATATACATATATACATATATACATATATACAGATATACATATATACATATATACATATATACAATATATACATATATACATATACATATATACATATATACATATATACATATATCACATATATCACATATATACATATATACATATATACATATATACATATATACATATATACATATATACATATATACATATATACATATATACATATATACATATAGACCTAAATACATATATACATATATACATATATACATATATACATATATACATATATACATATATACATATATACATATGTACATATATACATATATACATATATACATATATACATATATACATATATACATATATACATATATACATATATACATATATACATATATACATATATACATATATACATACATACATATGTACATATATACATATGTACATATATACATATATACATATATACATATATACATATATACATATATACATATATACATATATACATATATACATATATACATATATACATATGTACATATATACAGATATACAGATATACAGATGTACATATATACATATGTACATATATACAGATATACATATATACATATATACATATATACATATATACATATATACATATATACATATATACATATATACATATATACATATATACATATATACATATATACATATATATACATATGTACATATATACATATATACATATATATACATATATACATATATACATATGTACATATATACATATATACATATATATACATATATACATATATACATATATACATATATACATATATACATATATACATATATACATATGTACATATATACATATATACATATATACATATATACATATAGTATCATGGTGCATCATGGTTGTACCCCCCTGGGGTGCGCTTCACTCAGCGGATCATGCTGGAGGATCATCCCATTGAGTCAGTGCCGAAGTGGATACCATTTACAAATGGTATAAATGGAGGAACTAAGCACAGTTACTTACCACTTAGAACTCGTCGATGATCCTAAAGAAGTAGTTCTTTGCTTCAAAAATGCAACACAGATGCGTATCGACGAGAGCTTGTGCCACCTCTAAATGACCATTGGCTGCTCTGCAGATTTGGCTGAGAACGGCCAAAGCCACCTACGCGTGACGGGTAAGCAGGTCGTTGATGTGGTAAACCCAATAATAAAACACCCTTTGGGATCTTTGGGGTATGGTGCATGACACACACACACACATTTCTGGAAAAATAAGGGATAGTTGATTATCGAGTTTGGCATCAGTTTGCATCATCGCAACTAGGGGTATACCCAATAATAGACTACAAGTGGTGATGGGTTTAGTTCATTGCGTTTAGCTCATTGAAATCGAAACACCTCAGGCTGCAGCCAGTTCTATTCCAGTTGCTTTTGGGGGTCTTCAATCCAGTCATTCACATTCATAAACGATTTCCAAAGACCAGGGATGCAGACTGCCTCTGAAACATGGCAACAAACATGTTCAATCTACAGTTTCTACAGACTCAGCATGCGCTCCCAACTCATGTCCTGGTGTCGCCACTGATGTCACGGCATGTCAAGGAAGAAACTGCTGCGTCACATCAACACGCATGTTTGCTTGTGCGGTGCTGCATCAAGGACTCAAGCATATGTTATATCTTATTATCACATATACCGATATTACACACACAGAGGTTTGTATAATTCTGATTGAAATCATCTCTGGTTGTAGTTTCGCAAGTTGGTTGAAACCACGTATCCCATATCCCCCTTTTCCATCCTTTTCCCCTCATCCTGGCTGCCTGCCACACCCAAAAGCGATCCCAGCCAGATCGCGTCATTTGGCGATGAAAACCGCATGGGAGTGATGGAAAGAGCCGGGCTTAACCGTAAAATGCTGAAGCCAAGCACTTGCAGCACTTTTTTGGCCTATCTTGTTTGCATAGAAACATGCTGCAAGGATTAAGGACGCCAACAGTGCAATCCAACAGCTGTATACAGCTGTCAGCCCATAAGACATCATAGGACCTGAAGATGGACAGCTTGTCATGGAGTGGCTTCTCCCATGGGGCTCCTTTTTGAAGTGGTCCTTCTGCCAGCCAAAAGGTGCGGTGGAATGCCATAAATCCCCAACTGGGCCTCTGCCATTGGGAAGTGATGGCAAGTGGGTGAAATAAATAAATAAATAAATAAATAAATAGATAAATAGATAAATAAATAAATAATATGTATGTATATATATATGTGTGTATATCATTATTATCATTAGTTATTATTATTGTTATTATTATTATATGTATCTATATAATTCCATAAATAATATATATATATGTATAAAGACGTATGTATATATATATATATACACACCATACCGTGCCTGGCACTTGGCCATGCGGGATGGTCATCACAGGACCTGATCATAGTTCTATAGTACGGTCAATTGGCTCCAGAGGAATCTCCTCTCACTGTGAGTGGACCCTTCTGTTGGGTTTCCATTATATTCCATCTTCAAATGTCAGTGCTCTTTTTGAGACCTTTAAGTACAGTACGTAATCCGCTCCCTGAAAGAGTTGAAAATGCACCTTCAAAAATCATTTAAACGTACCCTCCGCTTATCTTGCTGGAACATCCCTCATTCATAGTTTATTGTCCCATCTATTTTCCCGCTGTAAAACTCATGTAAAGCCTCCCTGTTAATCGGGGACTTGTCACTGCCATTGATCCAAAGGTATCCAAAGGTTCTCTTTCCCCACCTCCGCAGCTGACAGCAGTTCTTCTTTTCGCCACGTCTCAAGCTTCGTAGGCAACGGGAGCCCGGCGCCTCCTGCCGAAGTTCGAAAGTCGTGTGGACTGGGCAACGTTTCTACAGAATTCGAAACTGTTTCAAAATGCTTCAAAAACCTCAAAACTGTCACAAACCACACATGAATTAGCCTATGAAACCTCTTGTATTAAACACACACCAAAACAAAAAAAAAAACATCAAAAAAAAATAACCCTGTCCCAGCCACTCATGGACCCCCATTGGCTTGTTGTTCTTGTTTTTTCTTTTCTGGAGGTTTTTGAAACT